AGGCAATAAGTGACAGTCCCCACCCTCCAACTATTACTCCTTCCCTAAGCCAAACAAGCCTTAATCTCCCATCCACCTACAACCTATGATATCACCCAAAATCTCTTTCAACCCACTAGTCACCTTTGAATCCAAGCTCCTTTGCCACCATCGACTATCATTCTTCAATTATCCCATAGAACTCAACATACTCGAGAGAAAACCACCTTAAATGATAGTAGATTCATCTTAAGTGAAAGAGTGGAAAGGGAATAAAGGAGGCAAAGGAGAAAATATGACATGGGTAAATAGCAAAGGAGGATAAGGGTAGGCAAACAAAAAAAAAAACAATTGTTGAAGGGATAGGAAAAAGAGGCAGAGAGGAGGGATTGAATCATGGGAGGGGAAAGAAGGATTAAGGAGGCAAGGGAGAGGGGGTGGGGTACAGCGGCCTTCTAGCTTTTGCCACCGTTCCCCAGTCTTTTCACTTTAGGGTTTTTTTTTTTTTTTTTCCTCCAAAAGAAATAATTAAATATGCATTAGATGGCATTAGATGGCATTAGATGATTGATTTATTAAGTAAATATGAATTCTTTTTTTAAAGATTTATTTTGAAGTTAAAAAAAATACTTTTAAGTCAAACTGCACAAAATTTGCGGTTAACTTAGTTCATTTTTATTATATAGTCCAAACCATCAATTCACTAAAAAACTTTTATGCTCTGTTTGCCAACTTGAATTTGACAATCTGTATTTGAATTTGGAGGGTTGAAATTCAATTTCACCGTTTGTTTTTATCAAAATAAAATGTAATTAAATTTGAATGAAATACATGTATTTTAACCAAGTAATTATTATGAGTAAATTCCGTGAATTTCAATTTCACCCTAAAACCCTCGAATTTCAATTTTGAATTGAATTTGTTCTGCACTCTTCTCACGACGGCGATGAGCCTTCACCGTCCGCCCTGACTCTGCCACTACTCTCGCTGCTCTCGCTGCTCCCGCTGCTCTCGCTGCTTTCGCTCTCTCACCTTCGCGTCGTCGGCCACTCAAGCGCATCTACCAGACTTTTCATCATCTCTCTCGATAGATCAGCGCCTCAGGTAATTCCTTTTCCTTCCTCAAATTTTTATTGATTTGCA